TGAAGTATCTTTTACACTATAATACATTTTTTATATAATTTAAGCAATTATTTCTCTTGAAAATATCTAAAACGAGGCATTAACAAAGCAACTTTATTTTCCTCAATTTTTATTACACACTTTTCAGACACTAATGAAACCCTGCAGGTAAATCAGGAATGTTTAAAAGTTCAACCTATATCCAGTTGTTTGCACAGGCTATTACTACTAATTAACCGTACCCTTTGGTCCATACCACTCGGTGTCTACCGACTAATTACCTGAAGCACGTTAAACGCGAGCCTACTTGCAATCGGAGATTCCATCGATCTTCACGCAGCCAGACTGATTCAGACACTTGTAATGGCTGGCTGGCATCAGTTTATATTGTTCCGCGAATTCCTGATCCCGAGTTCCTGCTTCGACCAGCTGATAGAACACATGGTAATTCCTTTCGCCGGTGCTCTGGAAAGTTATTCGACTCTGTTCGAGCAAGTAATCTTGAATGATGCAGCCCTTGATCATCCACTTGCTGTCGAAGCACACCTGCATGAATTTGCCGAATCGGGAGCTGTTGTCGTTCCTCACTGTCTTCGCGTTTCCTGTCGGTGGAGAGATGAAGATTTAATTTTTAAAAATAAACTACAAAAAACGTCGGTGAAAAATGTTGCAGTACTATTGTACATCTCTGTCTTCTACAGGGTAATTCTAAAGAGGTTAATCACTTGGAAAACAATTAAATACTCGAAGTTCAGCTTCAACAATGAAATTAGCCTTGATGAAACGAAACAAACACTCGTGATATTTTTTTTTTGGTTTTACTTTATGCTGCCAGGGAAACAAAGTGTGATGCTTCAAATATTGAGAGACTCAACGACAAGAGAGAAAAATGTTTTCACAACGACGTTTAGAATTCCGTGGGAGAGAGTGTTTGTTGGCGCGCTTTTGTTGGGACACAAAAGCAAACGGTACAATTTTTATGATACACCCTTAAATCTTTCGCCTCTCATGACCCAGTTTTTACCCCTCGCGCTCCTGTATTTAACACCTGACTCGTTCTCGGCCTCTTGGCTCCGAGTAATGAATCCCCTTTTATTTTTAAATGCCATTAGGAATGAACGTTCATCGACCTGTTTCATAAAAGTCTTCCCGTTTACATTCAGCTATTTTAGAGCGTTGCCTTCTCGAACAACAGAAAGTCTCGCGAAAAAAAGATCTCGTTCTCTTCATCGCCGGTCGGACTTTTAATGAAAGGTGTCTATGAAAACTTGCATTTCACTACGAACCTATACTTTTAACGAAACCGAACGAAACCGCTTTCAGTTGTTTTCATTTGTGAGGCATTCTCAGACTCTCCAATTAACAGTGATTTTTTAAACGAAAGAATTGCCTGGGGGTTAACGCCACGAATTAATCCTTCGAGCTGTTCCAATTAGAGATTAACAATGAAATTTTCACGAAGCCTTCTTGAAGCCTATTTCATTGCCGAGATCGTTTTCGAACTTTCCAATCGATGATAATTCTATGGAAATTAACAATATTCGTCGTTAATTATTTTAAAGTTGATTAAATACAGCTTTGTTTCTACTAAAAAACTTTTCAGTGCGTTTTTACCGGTAACAAAGGATTACGTCCGTGCGACAGGGGGAGAATTTGCGGTGGAAATTCGGTGCAGCCGCGGGTGAACTGTTAGGAAAATATAATTAACGGTGCTAAAATTGCTTATTAACGAAGCTAATTACCAAAAGCTTCGAGGATGGTGTTCGCCTCGAGAATTTGTTGTTCGACCCACGTGTCGACGTTACTGGTCACAGAGCAAAGGTACTGCAAAATGAATTTCGTGGTCTCCGTTTTGCCTGCCCCACTCTCGCCCGATATTACGCAGGATTGATTGCTCTCCGTGTCCTGAAGAGACCTGTACGCTGCTTCCGCCAGCGCGAACACGTGCGGCTCCAGGGAGCCCATCTTTTGTCCATGGTATCGATTCACGTACTCCTGAAAATCGAGACAATGCTTTTACTGCAAAAAGCCGCCTTTTATATCTTCGATAAAAAAAAGAGCCATATTTCGGTGAAAAAAATTATTCCTTTTTTAAACGAGAAATACAGCTTTTCCAAAGAAGAAGTTTTGATTACTTTAGAACGACGAGCAAGTTTTTTTTTTTTTTTTTTTTTTTTTAATGTCACTTTTCTGTTAAAAAGATATATAGGTACTTTTGTTTTTCACTGAAAAATGTAGCTTTTCCTGAAAAGACGTTTTGGTCAATTTAAAACGACGATAAATTTTTTATGGTGTTTAAAACAGTCCTGCTGTTATCTTTAGTTGTAGAATGTTATTTCGACGCCGGAAATAGTTTGAAATGGTGGACTGGTGAAAGGAGCAGTGGGAGGCGTGTGAAGACAAGTCCATTTCCGGTCTAGAGCAACTTCAGCGGACTTGTCAATAAGAGTACCTATCTGTGCCTGAAATGTGGATGTCGTATAAATAGACGAATGATCTATATATAGAAAGTGATTTATGCATGAGAACTTACGAAAATAGTTGACAAGACATCTGAAAAGTCATTCGAAGGTCGATGCTTTGCTACTAATTTTAACCCACACGCGACAAGTGCAAATATAAATAATTTCCATGAATTAAAAAATAGTGTTGTTATATCCCTCGCTCGTTGAGTATTCATGTCCCTTTCTTTTCTGCGTGTGAAAACAATTTATATACAGAAAACGTGTTGTACTTGAATTCTCTTAATTGCAATAAATAGTCGAACATGGCTGTCTTTTTTTTTTTTCACGATGGAAAATTCGCGTTGCTGCGCATTAGCCTTAATTACAATATCAAACGCGTCGAACGCGACAAACAGATTCCAATGATCCAATAGAAGGCTTGAATTAAGGGCGGCGGGTGGGCTCGTCGACCCTGGTAACCCGATTAATTGTAAACGTCACGACCGAGTTCCATTCAGCCCCTTTCATTTACTGATTCCCTTGGGAGTATCGTATCACGGTTACGAAAGGCGTGTACATCAATAGTTCGATTCCAAACTGGTCACGGTTTAACGCTGTGCGTTTTACGTTAAAACGCCCCCTACTATATACTAAATCTGCTTTACGCGGTTTCTCCACCGCTTCATTTATGTTTACTTTCGCGATTACTCCAAAGATGGCTCTGCCTTCAACGGTGTCTTTACAAAGTTACTTTTAAATTGAACGTTTTATTTTACAAACTCGATGCGTCGTAATGTACTTGTACGTCAATTATAGATTTCACAATTAAACGAAACAATTTCGTATGTACGCCGAAATTAAACGAGAGAACAATTCACTGTATATCTCGTGTACAATGGAAAGGAAATAAATCCACGAGAAGTTTTGCCGAATTA